GGGGGAGGGGACCTGCTACTTACCTAAGTGGTTCTGAACCTTCTCTCTCTTGGGTTGACCTCTTAATTGTATTCCTTTACCTATTAAAGGCTGTCTTTCTGAGGATGTTGGGAAACCAAGCAAGCAGCTCCCCTCCCTGGTAAGTGGCAGTGGTGTGGCAGACTGTGGCCCTTCCAGGGGAAAAACACCAGTGGCTCCTGAGATCTGAGCCATGGTGGAATTTAGGATGCTGGGAAACCAAGTAAGCAGCTCCCCTCCCTGGTAAGCAGCTATGGTGTGGTTGGCTATGGCCCTTCCAGGAGGAGAACTACCAGTGTCTCCTGAGATCTGCGCCATGTTGGAACTTAGGATGCTGGGAAACCAAGCAAGCAGCTCCCCTCCCTGGTAAGTGGCAGTGGTGTGGCAGATTGTGGCCCTTCCAAGGGGAGAATCACTAGTGTCTTCTGAGATCCACACCATGTTGGAGCTTAGGACGCTGGGAAACCAAGCAGCCAGCCTGCCTCCCTGCTAAGCAATAGTGAACCTACTAGTACATGGCCTAGGGTCAAACATCCCACTATTCCTCATTCCCCTATTCCTCTTTCCCTATCCCCCATTAGCAAATGGGAACCAGAAATCTGAGCATCTCTTGGGAGATTGACCATAGCAAATAAGGGGGTTTTTGTTCTACCATCTCTTTGAAGGCAAATATTTTTATTACTGCCTTGCTTTAATTCTGATTAAGGGTACTGCTCTATTCAATATTCTGGTTTGATGTGTTCTATAATATTCTGTATTTCATTTTATTTTGATATATGTGATTGAAAGAACTATTATAAAGATAACAAAATATACTATGATACCTATTTCTGTTATCCCAGTAACCTGCTATGAAGTTCTGTACCAGTTTCACTACATGGTCTCAGTTGGCTTTTTTCTTTCTTGTTCTGTGGTATTTTACTACTTTAAAAAAAAATAAAGCCTGTCTTTCCAACCTATCCACAAATACTGGTCTAGTTGCCTCTATTACTCTCTGATTCTCTGTCACATAGAGCATTGTTTTCTCATATTTGATTTTCAGTCCATGTACTCTTTTTCATGTTCATTATATTTCCTTACAAATAGCATCTCGGCGGACCCTGCCTTCCGATCTACTGCACATATGGTTCTTTTTTTTTTTTTTTTGAAGAGTATCAAGGCCATCTTTCTATATTAGAGATTATAACCAACCTTTTCTGCCTCATTTCTGTTATGATCTTTTTTTTTTTTTTGCCATCAGTTGTCTGCTTATCTTCTTCATTCTGTTTTGTGCTCCATTCTTTGAGGCTTCTCTGCCACCATTCCTGGAATCGTAGTACTTTTTTCTCTTTCTAGAATGCCCTGCAGTATTCTCTGTAGAGTTGGATTGGTAGTTGCGAATTTCCCAAGTTCTTCTTTGTCTTGGAAGCATCATTTCTCCATTAATTTATAGAGACAGGTTAGCAGGGTATATCAATCTGGGTTGGAAGTTATTTTCTTTCAGGGCTTGGGATATTTCGCTCCAGGCTCTTCTTGACTTGATGGTTTGTGTCGAGAAGTCTGCCATTATTCTGATGGGCTTTCCTTTATAGGTTATCTGTTTCTTATCTCTAACAGTTTTTAATATTCTGTTCTTACATTGAATTTCTGGGATCTTGATTATTATATGCCTGGGTGTAGCTTTGTTTTGGTTGTAGGTGGCTGGAGTTCTGTATGCCTCATACATCAGGATATCATTTCCTTTTCCTATTTGGGGAAGTTTTCCTTAATTATTTCTGTGAATAGCCTTTGTAGTTCCTTTGTACCCCTGCTTCTTCATTCACATTCTTTATTCTCAAGTTATAGATCCTCTTGTCATCGTCTAGCCTTTGTATTCTTACTGCTTGTCTTTTTGTTATTTTTAAAAGTTTTTCCTTTCATAATCCCACATTACAAAACTGTCTTCCAGTTTGGATAATCTATCCTTAGTTTCTTTCAAGCAGATTTGCCATCTTTCCATAGAGTTTTAAATTTCCTGGTAATCTCTATGAATCTGCTTCATGTGTTCTATATTTCTTTACATTCTACATCAAATGGTTCTCTCCTTTGAGTTCCTCACTTTTTCCATCTGTCTTCTTGAAGGGTGTTTAGCATTTCTTTTATTAATCTTCTTATATCTTGCTTTACTTGGCTACATATTTCCCTTTTGAACTCATCTATGGGGTTCCAAAGATATCTCTTTATGTCCACTGGTGCAGTATCTAATATTGCATGTTTGCTGTTCTCATTACCCTTTGTATTTACCTGTCCTGGGTGTATGTTCTCAGGGTTGGGACCTGGGGACTTTTTGTTGTTGCTTCCTCTTCTCACCTTTTTTGTTTCTTCTAGGAGGCCCCAGTTTCCTTCTTTGTTGGTTACAATTCTTCTGAAGCATGCTGGCTAGGTGACCCTTCCCACTGCAGTGTGCTAGTGAGTTGCAGACAGGGACAGCGTATACCAGCCCCTCCCCTCCACATCAGTCAAGCTGGTGAGGCCTGCACTGTATTACTATCCGCCACCTCCCCTCCAGATCAGTCAAACTTGAGGCTTCACTGCATTAATGTGGTTAGTGTGTGCCGCCACCGTAGGGAACTGATGTTGGATAACCTATTGGGTCTCAGCCAGGTTGCATGACCCAGGCCTAGCTCACTCCACCAATCCTGTTCAGGAAGGAAACAACTGGCTGAAGTCACTGCTGCTCCTTGTACTTGCCAGTCTTGCCTGGTCCCAGAATGTTGTCCGCCAGAGCCCCACTTTCTGTAGAATGGCTCCACTCCTGTCACCACAGGTCGATGCAGGCTCCCTGCCAGCTCAGTTCTCCGTTTGGCTGGCTGACCCCCGACCTCAGTGTGACTGCGCTTCCAGTGAGTCAAAGTGGAGGGACTTCAGATGGCTTGGCAAGTCACCCGCTGTGGCAAAAGCACTGAACCTTTAGTTGTTCCAATAATAGCACTAGGACTGTGTGTTTGATTGGTTCTTCTCATCTTAGTTTCTTCTTCAGATGAGAGAATTCAATTCCCTCTGTTTGGGGCTCCCCACACTGTATTATGAATTCTAAGTTGACTATCTCAGGAAGCCTCTGTAGCCTGCTGTTATCTGCCATCTTTGCCATATTCTGCCTCATCCTTGAGTATTGAGATTACAGGCATGCAGCACTACATTTGGCTGTTTTGTTTCTTAAAAACAGGTAAAGCATGCTTATTTTATGAACTGCACTTTTATAATTTTACTATCTTATGTGTTTAATTCTATAGCTTTGACTCATCCTTAAGTTTTTGCATTGTTTTTAAAAAAAACATTTGAAGTGCATGAAGCAGTTAATGAATTTTCACTGTGCACATATGAACCATCATTCCCCTTAAATCACTTCAGAAGCTCCACCACACCCCTTGTTAGCCTGTTCTCTCTACACTCTGTAAATAAACACTGACTTCTATCACTTCAACTATCTTTGTCTATTCGTGGCCTTCATTTAAATGGAATACAGTATATATTACTAGACCAGGCTTGTTATCTCAGTAATCCATTTCATTCGACTGCCACATTCCACTCTGTGGATGAATACACCACTACTTCCTTTCTCTTGATAACTATTAAAGGTGCTGTGAACAGATTTGTTGTTTTTCTTGGGAACACTTTATTTCCCACAGGCACATAAAAATTCTAGGTTGGGGGTGTACTAAACTTTCCTAAAACTTGCAGCTCTCCAAAGTAGTATTACTATTTCAGATTCTCAAAAGTAATGTACAAAGACAAGATCCTTGGTTTCAAATCTCAAATTTGTTACTAATCATGTTAAGCATCTTTCCATACGCTCATTCTTTCATGAGTTAGTGTCTGCCTTTTTTTACCCCTCCCAAATTACAGATCCTGAAGACATATTCTGTTCTGCAGCTACACTTTTAATACTTATTTTGTTCAGGGTTAGTGCTTTTTGAGCACTCTAATCTTTGCCTAGTGACATTTTCTCCTAAAAGGTTGGCAATTTCTTTTTCATCTTTATATCTACCTTTGGTATACAGAGGCAGGGGTTCATTTTTATTCACGTGCTGTTACTACTGCACATTTTTTGGAGGTGGGGGAAGATAAAATGAGCTGGGGATGGTGATGCAACCCTTTAATTCCAGCACTCAGGAGGCCAAGGCAGGAGGATCATTGAGGGTTTGAGGCTAGCCTGGGCTACATGAGTTCAAAGGCTAGCTTGGACTGCATGGGGCTACCCTCTGTCTCTCTCACACACAATCACAGCCTATGGGTGTATCAATCTGCTATCGCCAATTTTCAAATGCTCTCTGTAACATGAATTTGTTTTGAATACAGTACTGGACGTATCATTAAATTCGTGAAAAATGTGCACGAATGGTGTTAGGTTTGTGTCTGGATGTCCCCTCAGTCACGAGGATGGGTTTTTCATGGTGGCTGAATCTATGGTTTGTGACTGGTTCATTGTCTAACTGCGATTGGAGGTGTGAGTGTGCATTTGCCCTAGGGCAGGTAGCCTGCATGTAAGTGAGGAAAAGAGGCTTTTCCTGCTCCTCTCTTGTTGATTTTGGTTATCTTCTGCTGCCATGAATGGTTGCCCCTCTGCCATGTGCCTCTTGTGTTGGAGTCAGCCAATTATGGACTGAAACCTCCACAAACTGTAAGCTAAATAAATCTCTCCTTTCTTAATTTTAGGCACCGGGTATTTTGTATTAGCAGCGAGAAAAGTAACCAAGACAAACATGGTATTTCTTACCAAACTGTCAGAGAATTAGATTACTAAAATTGCTCAGATTAGATTACTTAAGACCTTTTGGCTCCTGGAGATAACATTATGTCTATCAGACAGAAGATGCAAGAAAGAAAAGAAAGTTTGCTAAATGAATCAATAACTAAGACGACCATTTAACTTGAAAATGGCAATGCCTTTTTGCTTAAATACAAGGTAATTCTAGTAAAATGATTCTACTCTCACATGCCAAAATATTAAGATACAAAAATAATTACCATAATTTCATAAGCTTATTTTAATTTTTTGAATTTTAACAGTTCAAGTAAAAGTCAGCTAGATAACATAAATACAGAATAAATGCACATAATTTATAGTTATTTACATAAATGCAATAGCAAAACTCACATGAATGGCCAAAAGTTATTAACTCTTTTGAAGTTCATTATTTAGGTATAACTTACATAGTTGTTCACATATACTAGGGCACACATTCGAAGTTTATTAACATAAAAACAAAATAGAAGCTTCAGTTAAGAGTAGCAAAAAAATTCATGGGTAGATTCATGGGAAATACAAACATGATGGAGAAAGGATCTGAATGGACAGAAAGCACATTGTACTTTATATATTAAAATTTTTTTCAATTTAAATCATTAAGAAGTAAGTATAATCTTAGGAATGTTAAAGTCACAATCAATACTACAGGAGAAAAAGGTGGCTGTTTAATCAGACCCACAGGGGTCCTTACAACATTAAGTTTGGGCAGAAGAGTAAACAACAAAAGAAATTAGGCATGAAGAATTCTACAAAGGAAGGGATAGATTGATTTCTAGCGCTTAACTCCTTCAAATTCAAACTGATACTTTTTCTGTGATTTAGAACGTATCTACAAACGTCAAAATGTTTATACTCCAGTAAAAGAGTAAACATTGGTTACTATGAACAAGCCAAACTCTGTTGGTCCTAATGTCCACAGTGGGTACTAAGTTTTAGGAAACACGAGGTTCTATCATGGTTTCAGAGATACAAATCTATTTGGGCCTCACCTTAAAACTGGTTCTATGAACTTACACAGTGGGAATCATGAGCGAGGTTTAGTAGTAGTTTTCCCTCTGGAATTAAAAGCACTGTGCAGCACAATCACGTGGTTGGCAATCCTCAGACCTGGAACCATTTCTGAGTGTTACGTGCAGAAAAGTTCTATGTGTTCTAAGAGGGTGTGCTTTCAGTATCTACTGCTTGAATCTTGGTGAGTTCAGTTCAATTTTCTGAGGAAACTATAACAATCTGGAGTGTGACTACCTCTGTGTCAGAAATTTTTAAAGTTACCTGATAGCAAACTGATATGACCTATAGTTTTTTAAAAGTCCAATAGTTTTGAATATTTTCTTCTTATACAGAATCAATGTTTTTTAAATCTTCAAAGAAGTATTTGAGAGACAAACTCTACATGTAACTTTTATATATAGCTGTCCAGTTGTAAACTATGGCAGATTGTGTTCAGGGGGAAAAAACAGTAGAACAGACTTCACTGCTCCTTTGCAGCTGTTGCACAAATAAAATCTAAAACTCTCTTTTCTTTCCAGTACATATATAATACTGAAAAAAGCTGAATATAGTGCACTAAAGGTCAATGTAAGCTTTACTTGTTAAATACAAACAGAAGGACACTTGTCATGAATTTGCTAAAACCAAGTAAGATGTTCCTTAACTGTTGGTTGTTGTATCATTCATTCTTCACCATTTGTGGGGCATTGAGATCAGTTAAGAATGGGGAGAATGCATCCTACATTCAATATGATTAGTATTTATGGATCTTCACAAGGCAAATGGCACTGTATTAGGCAGTATAAATGGCACCTGTAAAGGCAAACATTACAGATTACGACCTCTACAGACTGAAGTTAAGAAACCCGTTTTGGGAAGGTTTTGTTTTGTTTTTTGGTTATGCCCTCATAATAAACTCAAAGCTGAAATTTATCATAAAAGATAGTAATAATAATTCCAAAGGTAATGACTAAGTTTGCCTTTGGTCTCCAAATATATTGGAATATTTTCAATTCCAACAGAGCACCTCAAAAACATCCAGTTATTGTTAATTACAAGAAAATCAACGTGAGGGAATTTAAGAGGGTATTATGCTCATTGGTGACAGCAGAGAAAGCTTGCAGTGCTTTTCCATAATGTTCTGAAAAATTATGCAGCTTTTCCATAACACTGGGGCACTACAGTGTACACAGAAATTTAACACATTTTAACAGCTTCAAAAAAAAAAAACCAAAAGCAGAATCCTGAAAAATGTTATACATACCGTTTCTGCCTAACACATGAACAGTTATTTTTTAAAAATCTTAACATGAAATTCTCTCCCAACTCTCTTACCCTCAAAAAAGGCCACAAAGTGCATTCACAAAAAGTCAGTCTTAAAATAAAGCCATTGCACAAAATATCAAGTTAAGGTATACTGAAATGAATACCATACTGGAGTTTAAATGTACAAATCTCACACCAAGACAGCAGTATCCATAGGCGAAGTCTCTAATAGTATATAGCAGACATCTTCATAAAGGCCATACATATGATACATTTAAGGTACTAAAAAGTATAGATGACTTGACAGCAAAATCTAAAAACTATATCCTATTAGCACATTTAAACCAAATGAACTTGAATCTTTCTATGATATACCACTCAGGAAACTAGGTCAGAATAAATTTGTCAAATCAGTTTGTTCATTTGTAAGTCAATTAAGAATACTGCTTCCTGAATCAGAAAAGAGGGCCCCTCTTCCATAATACTTATTATGTACCAGATAGTAATATCACTTTCAAAAACTTGTAAGGGTCAAGCTGAAAATTATCATTTTCTCTACCAAGTAAGTGTAATCTATACTGACCTGGAAATAAATTCAGGTCCAAATTCTTAAGTGTGACATAAACAGAAAAATTCAGAAGCAGTTAAGTTTTTCTACTTTAAGTAAATGATATATACGTATGATAGATAGGTGATGATTCATGTTCAAAACTAGTTAAGTTACTGAAAAGACAAATACATTCATTCACGTTCCATAACATTAGAGAAGATACAAGGGCATGTTTAAGTCACTGAAATGGTCAAGAATCAATATTTATTGGTTACGTTATAATCTGCCAAGTATTTTGTCAGTTTTACATGGTACAATTTAAAGTCCACATTATGCTAAACATTAAGCACTTGCTAGCTGAAGAGACTCAAAACATTTTAACATACAAGATATTTAGACTATAGTTCCTTGGTTGTCAAAAATAATGATTACTGGTGCCAAATAATTAAATTAAAATATTGTGCCAAGTCATCTGAGCAAAATGGGAATACTGAGGACCTACCAACTATTATCTTACAGTATTACAAGAATTGAAAGTCAGACGCTAGATATTATGTCAATACTACCTTTGGATAGTTACAGTACAGTATATATTTAAGGATGGCTTTGTTTAGAACGCTGGAAAAATGCTCATGGAATAAACACTTGTCTCAATGTCATAGGTCAATAAAACACAACTACATCTGGTGAACATGGTAGAGAAAATGGCAACTTTAACAAAGAAGTGTTTCCAAATGCATTTCCTTTAGGGTGGCTGAGGTTTTCCACATTACAGAAAGACTAAGTAATGTGGTGTGTCTATCTTAACCAAACTTCCACTTAGGCATAGTTATGGTACATGTTCCCAAACTACTATTCTTTCTGTCCACTATGCTGGCTCCAATAATCCATGATCCACTGTAATCTTTTGGTCTTCCCTCTTTTGCAGTGTGGCAGCCTATGCTGCTATCCATTGAGCAGGTAAACCACTAATTCATAGGTGGCCATCATAATGGCTGTGTTTGGAATCTGTCTCACCAAATGAGTTGTTAGACCACGGTAAAGTGACCCATAACCTTCTTCTTGAACCACCAAAGACAGTGTCTGAAAAAAGGATCTATATTTTGTTCCTTCTTCACGTAATCTTGTTCTTACAACTTCTGTTTAGGAAAGAAATAAAATCAATTGAAAAATTATTAACTTCTTTATACTTCCCTGATCATACTAAATATACCACATTTATCAATTTATAAGCAGCTCAAGAAAAATGATTTTTAATGTCATATTGACATAGTACCAGCAAATTTCTCATAGCCATTATCATACATACCAAAGTAACAAGGGAAAACAGATGTGATAAAGAGAAAAGCATGAAGAAGCAGGAAGTGAACACAGTATTAAAGACGAACACAGGAGGCTAAGGTGATACTAAGATTTCTTTAAAAAAGTAAACAGTACAAAATAAAGTGTTCTAATGTAGTCACAGCAGTCCACATACACTAACATAAAACAATGCGTGGACAAAGTTGTTGAACATGCATAGGATATTAGCTACCAGTGATAAAGTCAAGATTGAGAATCAGGCAAATATTATACATGTTAATGGCTGAATGAACTTCAAGATTAGTCCAATTTATCTTTAGTTTAAATGTTAAGAAATTGAGCTGGGGACAAAGCTCAGTGGTAGGGTGCTTGCTTAGTGTGTGTGGCTCTGTGTTTAATGTATAGTATGAGTGTTAGAAAGAAAAAAAGAAAGGAAGGAAGGCAAGAAAGAAAAAGAGAAAGCAAGAAAGAATAAAAGAGAAAAGAAAAATGAAACTGAAGTTACTGAGAAGTTTTAGCCATTTAAGAATATAGGCTGACATAAAAAAATCAGTTTTCTACCCCATCAAAAGATTAATTGCTCTTTATCTATTCATTTGCAATTTTCCCCCTAACAAAGTACCATCTACGATCCCGAGATGAACAGTCTAAAGCGGCCTATCGTAAATGCAAACTTTTATTGGAAATCTCTCGTTCTATCTTAAAAGACCATGCAATTTATATACTGAACTCCAGAATTCTACCAATAGTACTTCTTCTGGTAACATCATCATGTCACTTACATATTTACATTAAAAGAAAAACATACCAAGAGTAGCAAAACCAAAACCAAAAAAACTTAAAGTTATACTTATAACAGCTACCAAAAACCTCTTAGCATGTAAGCTTTTAACTGAGTTCTTCAGTGACTAAGAGATTAGTAATACAAAATTTAATGAAGGAAATAAATTATTAATATACTTGTCAAAATAAAATAGTGTGAAATAGCTTGGTCTTTAGGATTACAGACTTTGTATTTAGGTTCAATTGTTAGTGTGATCTTGCTTAAGTTATTTATTTATTTCCCTCAGTTTCTCATTTGAAAATGAGGTCAATTCTGGTTATGTTCTGGAATGCTTAAGAAAGATTAAATATTTTGGAGGATTATAAACATTAGCAATGATTTAGTACGTAAAGTATATGCTATAGCACTTACATTTACATAAATTTTTCAAACAGAAGCTGCCCAAAGGACAACGAGCTAGGGTTAAACCAAATTGGAATTGAACTCCAGGGTTAGACGCTGAGTGAGACTCCAGAGCTCGTGTCTAGCTGGTGTGCTGCATGACAGCATATCTTGACCTATTTATCCAGCCTGGGTTACTTACATTTAATCCCATCATAAACTCCCAACAACTGTGTTTTATCAAGTTGGAATTAAGTAAAATTACATGAATTGTAAACAGCAGGACATCAGCTGGGATGGGAAGCATTACAGAATTTGCTTGTAAAGATTTGCTTTTCTTACCATGTGGATACGCTATAGTTGTGGCACATGTTTTTGAGGTGGCAGCAGCAAGCATCATTCCCACAAAATCTGAGGCTTCTTTCACAGACTCTTCACCACTTTCCATCATGGAAGCAGTCTTACATTCCAGGAGTTTTTGTTTTATACTTTCATAGATAACGAAATGGATAACAGTCTCTGATATGCCAGCATAGGAAGCAGACATGCCCCTATAAAATCCTTTAAGTCCATCTGTCTGATACACTTTACGAATACATTCAAAAGCACCCATTTGCTTTTCCCCACGGTTCCTAAAGAGCAAAAGGGAAAATATTATTGACATTAAGTGATAAGAATTTTTAGCCAGTAAATTAAAATGCTGCTCTAATAAAACATAGTGTTCTTTAACTCACGAAGTGAAATCTAAGTTTTGTTTTAAAAATATTTTTGTTTTTTGAGACAAGGTCTCATTTTGTATATTTAGGTGGCCCTGAAATCCTCCTGCCTCAGTCTTTGAGTATTGGGATTATAGGTGTATGCTACCACACCCAGCTGAAATCAGAATGTTAAAACATTCACTTCTAGATTTCTTATCTTTGTCCCACATTTGTCATACTTGTTGGGTAACATGTAAACAGTTTATTTTACTGACTGCAAAATGTATTATACTGATTCTTTGGTTTCACATCCTCCTAAATTCCTTTAGAAACTCTACCCTTTGGCTAGAGCTCAAGGTAAAACCAAAACAAGTAGATAAAGACCTTTATGTTACACTAATTCTAGTTCTAAGTAAACTGAATATGTTTCTTTTTCTTTTTTTTCTTCTTTTGGTACTGAGGATTGAACTCATGACCTTATGGTTGCCAGGCAGGCACTTGTGATGTTGAGCTAAATCCCTACTCCACTAAACTGAATTTCTTTTGCATTTAATAACACAAAAACTATGATGGAGACACTAATTATGATAGTGAACAATAAAGCATGGAGTATGATTAACTGAATTTCTGTGAGCCTGGGGAGTTGTTCCATCTTTACCAAGATTCTCCCTCAAAAGTGACTGAGTAAACAGAAATCAAACTTTCTATGAACATTTAAAGGCAGTGGTCATATCAGTATCCTGATAAATAGTGAATGAGTACTTGTATAGCTATCAAGTGCTCATTTAGCATTGTTCCCAGTGCAATTTCTTTAGTGCTACTTAGTGGTACAGTGGCTATCCTTAAAGGGCACAAGTCTACCTTCAACATGTGATTCTACCTTCAGAACGCCATCTAAAGAAATGAGTTAAAATGCTGCCCAAAGCGAAAGAAATAGAAAATGTATTTATTTACAAGTTACATCTAACCTATTTCTGACATAGCCAACTGACCCCTCAATTAAAAGATCCATCTGATAACTTACAGGATCCTCCAATTTTATCAACTAAAGATTTTCTTCACACAGTGAATACCTATATAGTGTAATGACAGCTTTTAACTAACTGTAACTATTTTCTGATATTAGAGATCTTAACAAGAAAGTTAAAAGATATGAATATGCAAGAGTGACAGGTTAAGGGTTGGGGATTTAGCTCAGCGGCACAAGCGCCTGCCTTGCAAGCACACAGTTGTGAGTTCAATCCCCAGTACCAATAAAAAAATAGAATAAAAGAGTGACAGGTAAACACACCAGCTCTGTTTCTGATCTCAATATTATGGCTTTACAACAGTAGAATGTGGATTAGCATGTCATACTTTTTAATCCTTGGGTTACATTTTATCAGTCATTACTTTTCAGATCTTTGGCTTTAAGAAATAAATTCTGAGTTTTGCCATATAAGATTTCACTAAAGGAACTAGTCTAGATGAAACCATTAGACACTTTTTTTCAAAGCTCCAAACGGCACATAGCTCAAACCCCAAATCACAAAAATAGTAGAAATATGGAGTACATTGAGCTTATTCCTGATTGAAAGCCGAAGAGTTATAAACTATTAACATTATTATTACTATAACATATCAGATAGTTGTAGCAATGCTTCTTTGATTTTCTCAGTCCCCAGAATATATTAAGATTCCACATCTCTGGTCTGAGGTTTGCACTAGTCCTCTGCTAAAAATGGGCAAACAAACCACTCTTTGATACATTGCATTTCAAGTTGGTCCCTACTGATTCCTAGTGTATTTTCAGCACACAGCAATACCTGCTGCCTAGTTCAGAATGATTCTTAACTACTGTAAACTTGAGGTAAAGATGAAATACGTACACACAGACACACACACATGCACAGTACTATCTCCAACCCAATGATCTCTATACATGAGGTCAATGGATTTGAGCAAAGATTCTAAAAGATTCACTCCAGACTAACCGATCATGTAACTTCTTTAGCTGTTAGGAGGCCAATTATAAGCACTCATGTAAAGCAAAGTATCAGCTGTTGGGCTGGATTAATATACTGTTTCCAGAAATCTCATATTTAGAGGTAGGGCTTTTGGAAGGTGATTGGATCATTAGGGTGCTGGTCTCATCAATGGATCAATCCATTAAGTTTGTAGCTGAATGGGCTATTAGGAGGAAGCAGATGACCTAGAGGGCGTGCATTTGAAGGGTAAAACTTATCCCCAATCCTCTCCTACCCTGGCTCTTTCTAGCCCTCCTACACTTCCTGGCTGTCATAGGAAGTAGGCTCTTTTTCATGCTCTTTCTGCTTTGGAGCCAATGAACTATGGACTGAAACCTTTGAAAGTGAGCGAAAATAAATCTTTTCTCCTTTAAATTATGTATGTCAACATATTTTGTCCTAGCAATGAAAAGATGACTTATAGACTTCTTCCCTTCTGTTAAAAAACAACACGGAGCCAAGCATGGTAGTGCATTCCTGTAATCCCAGCTACTCAGGAAGGATGATGCAGGAGAACTGAGTCCAAGAGCAGCCTGGGCAACATGGTAGGACCCTACCTGAAGCAAAAACACAAAACAAAGCAACACATAATACACATTTTTCATTTGGAAAGTTTATATTGTCAATTATATTACCACTTTGCTTCTATGGCAGACCCAAATTTCAACATGAAATAAAAGAAATAATTTATCAGCCAGAAGTATAAAGGGAAAACCATAGTGAGACACCAAATATTGAAAATTTACTGATGTAATTTATAGAAATGATTAAATCCACTTTCAAACTTCACATACCTTGCATCAAGCTGTAACCGAGTCTTTATAAGCCAAATGGGGTTGGTTGCAGTGATTGCAGTAAAACCTAAACAAATATATTTAAAATGAACTTTCGGTAAAGGTAAAGCACAGACTATTAGTTTTAAGGTTCTTTAAATTATACGAATCTATATTAAAGAAAATGTAAATATTTAAACTGCTGATATATGCTTTACATTTTCATTTTACAAATTCATATAAACATGTTTCTTATTAAATAAATTCTCAAATTCTGACTTCAGTAACTGAAGGATTCTTTTTAAAAGTAAAATTTGATTGTATACAAAATGCTCTCCCAACCTATCAGAATATCCTTTGGGGTGCTTTCTACTCCCTAAACTGAATTCAGAAACATTTTCCCACAACGAACAGTCAGAAGCTGTGTATTTTAGGGCTTAAAAACATGTACTCTACAGCAGCTACATCAATGAATTCTGCATAAATGGCAGTGTTTACTAATATTTTGATCTGTGTAGTACAAAAGACTAGTTTGGTTCCATGAATATTTATCTATAAACAAATTTACTAATAATATTAAACTAATGGCACCATACAGGTAAGGTTTCTGTTAAGGTTAATAGTACTTTTTATCCACTTAACACATAAAAAAACTCAAAAATTCAAAACACTACAAATTACAACTTTTCTCTTACTTTTATAGATAATGAAAAAAGTCAGAGTAGAAGGTAGTTATTTATTTTAAGACTAAAAGTGCTATGTGGTAACTATTACTACAAAGGGTAGTCACCCAGGATGGCTCTATTCCAAGTAGTAAATTAAGATCTCTGGAGCAGGATAATGCTAGGTTTATGCATATCTTTTACTTGCCATCTTCCTAGTTTTGGAAAAACAGCAGAACATAAAATGCAATCTTGATAATGGGAACTTACAGTGTAAGACTGCTTCACCTACACAAAATGGGGGTTTCACAGTTTGCTTTTACATTTAAGATTGGTTATACAAACTTCACAGAACTTCTTATATCAAGTTACTTTTATTCATTTAGCTTTTAAATTCAATTGGAAACTTCCATGCAGAAATATCTAAGGATCTAAACTGTTTTAATATTCTTTACCACATATTAACAAGTCAATCACATTACTTTTAGAAAGATGTACTACAATCAGACTTAATATAAGTAATTTCAAGAACAAAAATGCTGTGGTGTACTTAGGAATACAGTGATACCTCAGTTCATCAACTTATGCTTCATGATTCTGAAAGACTGCCATGGTCATATTCACTACCTGATGCAAGAGTTCACAAACAAAATCAAAATTCTGACATACACTTCTGTTTGTGAACCACAGCATTTGTGAACTGAGGTATCAATGTACTTTGTTTCTAAAATACATAATGTGGAACCGATCAGTTACTTTCTTGGCTTTCAGAGTTAGTCTATGCATACAAAATAATCTTATTAAATTGTTTACAAACTGAATATGGTCTCATTAGGTTCTTTCCTCTTGTATGATATCAGATAATTAATTCAGAATCTACTTCCTTAAAATACTGTTTTAACATTGTAGAAACAGACACATGTTACACAAAGGGCTACTTCAATTAAACCCACTTAGCAAGCAAGATAAATGGAATTGTTCTAGTAACTCATTTAATACATTTATAAAAATTATATAGCCTCCATTTATCTTAAGTGCTTTTAATATTACATACATAAACATAAAACTAGAATGGGACCAATTACTTCAGAAGCATCAGTCAGTATTAAAATAATAAAAATTTAAAGTAATGAACAGGTTGCCAGGAATATTTTTTTCAATGAGAAATTCTTTTCATGGATATATGTTGGTAAAAGGAAAGAAAAGAAAAAACATGGAACTATCAGACTAGTTAAAATATTTATCTGGCCTGGCCTGGTTTAATTGAAAATTGTACAGTACTTTTTCCGCTGGAATCTCATTTTTCTAAGTGAAAAAGTTAAAGATATTTAAATTAAATTTTAAAGTAGATATCAATACTCTGGCCAAATCCCAATTTTATGATTCTCATTTTTAAAATAAGAATTCTACTCTTATTTCTTAAATATACTAGATGTTTGTATTGTAAGACTAAGGATTTAAAGAGTTTATATCCACAAGATATTTTGCATTGTTCATAATAATCTTTAATGATTTTTATTAACTCATTTTGTAGAACTTTTAAATGAAGAAAAACAGCTTGCTTTTATAAAGCCTACAACTAGAAATTCTTAAAAAAAAATCCTACTGAAGTAAAAAATTTCATTCATTATATTTCAATGAACAGATGACCATCAAAGTTTATTCTTTTTAAATAAAAATTTTACTTTAAGAATACAAAATTAGTGCCCAAATTCTTCCATGTAATAGTATTCCAGTAAGTCGCAAGTCCTCAATTTTAGCCAGAAAAAACTATATATTACATATACGTGGTAAGTATTTATGTTGCTAGTGATAAAAACGTTTAAAGACTCAAGAATTATAATTTTAAGTTATTCTGTATGCATATTAATAAATCGTATCACAAAACAAACAACAGGTACTTCTCACTTAACTAAAATGCATTTCCAGGTCCCAATTAACCTATTTAATGGAGGTCGCATTAAAATTTAGGTAAGAGAAAGAATGCTGTATAATCTTATACCTTGTAATTGCTATCATCAGTAAGCTATGCTTTCTAGTATTGTCTCAATTCTCCCAATGACTGGAACTTTCTTAATAAAGGCATCAGTCTAATGACCAACAAAGTATGAGGTCGGACAAAGAACGTAGGCATAATCCATGGGTTTTTTTTTAACTATTTGTACTTCAGCAGTTAAAACTCTGGTCAATCCTTGAAATTTTACTCTATTACTTTCTCTTAACCAAATTATAAATTAATACACTTAGACATTATTAGGCTAACTCAATCTAGAAATATATAATCTATTAACTCAAAAAATGGATCAAATGGGAAAAAACCCCTTAAAATTTAAACTTAGAATTAAAATTAAACTCCAAAGCAATTTAAGGTTGGCAAAGCTAAACCTGTCTTTACCCTACTTCAAAGACAAGCATACACAAAGATACTGGGAATTGTGCTCCTGAAAAAAATTTTTTGTTTTGCATTTTAGCTTTGAGGTATTTTGACAAAATTATAATTTATATTACTTGTACTGTTAGTACTGTTAGTGTGGTTAGTGTTTTATTTAAAAAGCTTTAAAATTTTTTAAAATGCAATTTTAAGTTTTGCTTCACATAACTATTTGACAAAGTAAATCATTAAAAATCAGATAAAAAGAAAATTTCTGATAAATTTCCTTGCTGAAAATATTTATTTCATTAAGTGAGTGATACCTGTAATATTGCATTTTTTTCAGTACTTTTGAATTTTTAAGAACAAAACCCATGTAAACCAAGAAAAACTTATTAAACTATTTTAAAAGTTAATTAAAACTAAAACATCTAAGATCCCATATATTCTATCCTCAATTTATTTAGAAAGTACTAAAAGTATTAAATATTTTTGCAAAAGAATAAAAAGTCAAGTATCAACAGACAAGACAGGAAAGCACTGTTATTAGAGTTTTAAATATGTTAGCTAAGCAAAGAGAACTACTACTTAAATAGTTGTAGGATGGTATGGTACCATTTACAACTCTACATATATATTAAATTCTTTGGAGGTCAAGGCTGTTACGGCCAAACTGAAGACCCCCTGCTTACATGATGACTCAAAAGTACCCATTCTTCCTTCTAGAAAGGATTACAAAGGGATCATAATTAATTTTTATAAAATAATACACATACAAATTCAGGAAATAAAAATTCATTTCCCGCCTTCTATTAATTTCATAGCTATTATAAAATCCCAGGGTGTGTTTCTTATACTAGAGGCTGCAAGAGATGCTCAGATCAGTACTCACGAGGTTTAAGTTAGTCCATATTTCTACAGGAAGTGACCTGCGGATGGGGAGCATGAGATGACACGATCTCACTCTTTTCTCGGGAGAAATGTACAGTAAATGCCTAAAATAGACACAGGCTTTTCTGTATCATAACAACAAGCAGTGACCTCATCAGAAACATGTGTACAAACTGAATCCCATTGGAAGGATTTGAGTAATATTTACTGTGAGATCTAACTTCTGTGAAAAATTTAAGTTAAAAAAAGTGAAAGGAATATCAGAATGGGCTTTTAAAAAAAAATGCACCGAGTACTGAAATCCCACAAGTTTGAGTCCAAAATACTTACCCAAACCAAGATCAATTTTGTCTTAAAGAAAAAATGCTAACCTTGTCAGAAGAAAATCTAAAAGCAAAATATTTAGAGGGGATTGTCATATTCCATTTTCCTATCATTATTATCTTTCATAGTCAAAGAGCTACAAATACAATTTTGTATCCATTAACAAGTCTGTTTAAAGACATGCTGGGTGGCACACACCTTAATCCTGGGACATAGGGAGGCGCAAGCAGAAAGACTGCAAGTTTAAGACCAGATTGGACTACATAAGGAGTTCAAAGTCAGAGTGGACTACATAACAAGATCCTGTCTCAAAAAACCAAACTGAACCAAACCAAACCAAAAAATAAATCCAATATTCAAGTAAGTTCATTCTGGAACTATTTATAAATTTTAAAATAAGTATTTTTACCATAGTACCTTTCACTTTTTGCACTCTAGTCAGTTAATAATGCACATCCACATTTATGGAGTATTTTGTATTTTATCTTTTATATTCTACAAAACAGAAAACAGGAAGAATATTTATACATAAACAAAGCATCTATTCAACCACCCATCTGGCTGAATAAACTGTCATGGATAATTAACAATACTGTTTAAAAAAATATTTTATACATGAAAGTATATGAGTAAAAATTTTAATATTGAACTGTAAATCAAACAAAAATATATCTTGGAAAATAAAGGTATCCTGTAAACAAACAAAATCTATTAGGTATGCAGAAAACATTAAATGATTACATTATCGACATAATAAAAACTGAGCACTAACTGTATGAATACATAACAATAACTCAGAACTCATTTCTTTTATAATGTTGTATAAAAAGAGTATGTAAATGCCAGATAAAAACTTAAAAACTGGGAATTACTACATTGAAAGAAAACAATCTAATTTTTTTTTCTTTATCCACATCTGTGCCTAGGTATATACAGAGGGTAAAGTTCGTTTAAACAAAACAGATACCCATTTAGTAGCTAGGGTAAATTTAGTCTGAAAAATGTTATACACAGAGGAAAAATGGCAGGTAAAACATAAAAAAGCTGATTATTCTGAAAGCTGGAAAAATGTTTTAATGCATGAAAGTTTATAGCTACGTCTTAAAAACTTCTACTAAATTCTTACAATATTCACTTATAACACTATTTAACATTTAAAAAAGACTCATTTAATTGTCCCTTTAATAAATGAAGTTTTTGTATCTAAATTAAATGTGAGCTGATGTAGATAAAATGCAAAATGAGACTGAACCAAGAGATTACTTGGAATATAAATCACATATCGGGATACCTTTCTAAATCCTAATATGTATGCTAGCTGATACGGCAAAATCTCCTGGGCACTACCGCTAATTGTTTATTTTGGTGCATTTTTATTACTAAAGTGACAAGGTTAGCATTTTTTTCTTGAATAGCCACTTAAAATCTATTGTTTTTCACATAACTATCTGGAAGTATTTCATATCAAAACATTCATATTTAGACCTCTAAAAATGATCGTGAATAGCAATCTGGTCTGGATTAAAAATGAAGGGGCAAAAGGCTACCTTAATGAATCTGTACCGGACCATTGAGTTTCATCAACATGTATTAAAAAACTGCAAAGCTAAAGTTAAATGCTCATGAACAGAAAGCTCTGAAAGCATAATTCTCAGAACAATGTAACTGCAAAGAAATACAAATATTTTCAATTTACAAAGTGTATACTGCAATAATCTGAACAAGCATAAAACTATCAATTTACCAAAATTCAAAGAATTCAAGTTGTGAAATAGTATCAATGTACAGGAAAAAAAAAAAAAAAGCTGAGTTAGTATTTGTACACATGTGAGAAAAAAAAAGCACAAAATGACAATTCTGAATTTCTTTGTAATGTAATACAAATACAAATTCTGATGAGATAATTTAGTAAGCTGTTCTAGTAAAAATTAAGATACTGTGAACCGCTCAATTTAGAATTCTGAATATGTACTATTCTCATCATAAAGCAACTGTCTAGTTACTTTTTCCTGATTTCAGTTCTTTTAAAAAACATAACACTGACATTTCTTTATAATCTACTGAGGTTAAAAACCAAAATCATAAATATTGGTAATCTGGAAATATATTCTTAAAAATTCTAAAGCAGTGGTTATTAGGTTTGTTATAGCCACTAACTTGTACCTTCTTACACACTCAAATTCTAGAGGGAAAATCATATCCAATTCAACAACATCTAAAAGTACATTAAAAATAATTCTAGTAATCTCTACCACACTAAATAAAAGGACTAGTTCTCAAAATCTAGTGTATCCAGATCATCCTACTCCATGGATTAAGCTAACAGAGGCTCACTCACATTACTTAATCTGCCCAAGATTTCCTTAAGTATTTCCTATCTTTAATGTTGTCCAGTCCCCTCCGAATTTGTAACATCAATGAGTCAGTCAAAAATTATTAAATATAAAAAAAGCTTTAAAAATGGTTTGTAAGGAATGTGCTAAAAGTATTATATGCAGTACAGGCTTTCAACTTTTCAGAAATTAGTGTTTCAAATCTACCAATGAGTTGTTAAATATGTGATTCAACTTAACCCAATTTATTACTAAATAGAAAATGGTTACAAAATAGACATCATTACTAAGCACATAACTCACATTAAATTTGTTCATCAATAACTGATGACAGTAGGTAGGAATCTGTTTTATAAAGTCACAGCATAATTTGGAAATGTAAGATATGGTGAAATATGCAAAAAATTTTAAAAAATTATGGGAATTTTCAATTGAGTACTAAAAATTCGTGGCTTTGTCTAACATGCATGGTAGCAAATGATTCCAGAATCAGACTAGTGAAACCAATGTCTCATAGTGGTGCACAGACCTGAGAATGAGTTATTTTATTTGAGAATCATATGTATTTATCAAAGACAACGGAAGATTTCCTGGAAACATTTCTGTACCAAGCATTTACACAGAAGCAGTATCTAAAACTCAGGTGCTATCATCTAGTCTCATCTATATGTAATAAACATACTTTAAGAAATACACACATTACTGTTTATTAATAACACAGCACTCACAAAAATTTCAGCACTTGAGCACAAGACAAAATCAATACTTTACCAAGAACTGCTGGCACATTTCAGACAGAAGCCAAAACATGCAGCAAAAGGAAAAGTCACTAATAGAAACCGAGGAGAGAAGAGTAAATTATAGCTCTGTAGTACCTTAGAGTGTAATTATAGTTGGATTCTTAAAGTGGTTACAAAAATAATCACTAAATATTCAATGGACTACATGAGGCAATATAAATATGGTATTCTCTGGAGCCTATCATTTAAACTCCTAATTACAAAAATGCTAACTGATGACAAACTTTACATATATGGTATCTCATTAAATGTTTTATATAAATAATTATAAAAATCTCCTTGCAGATATTAATGAAAACCACTAGTCATCTTAACTTTTTAGTATAAACTTATCATAATTCGGCAGCAAGTCTTCAGGTTTCATAAATGTTTTCGTTTTTTAGAAGCATACATTCATACCTGCCATTGCAGCTGAAATCATGTGAACCTGGGTAGAATCAGGATCAAATATACCATTCAATTTTTCTTTGCAGTTGGAGTAAGCAGCAAAGTATAGTGCTCTAAAAGAAGGAATTAAAATTTATCAATAAGTACGTCCTTTAATTCATAAAAGTAAATGAAAATTAATCTTCCTAATTTTAGAATGAAGAAATTTAAAATCATAAAAGTTTTAGCTAGATTCTCATGTAACCGTCAGACTGCCATGTAATTTATACTTTTTCCCACAAAAAAAAAGCTCCTGAAGGGGTTTCAATATCAATTCATTAAGAAAAGACAAAACACAAATTTTCTAGTATCCATCCTTAAAACAAACCAATCCCTGTGTAATAATTTGATAGCCACTTAGCAACTGACAAAATTTTGATGACTGGAAACCCCATCAATGAATAAGGCTTTCAAGTCTCTGCAATGCTCAGGCTAAAGCAGTTCACCTAAGTAAGCAAGTGGCCTATGAGCAATTAAATGAATAATTTTTTTAGTGGGGAAAAGAAGGTAGAACTGATCCAAATAAAGTATAAGCTAAACAAGTATGAGCTATTGTGGTATTATATAATCTCTGTTTTTACACAGTATAGTTCACAGTATTCTCCCCCCCCCCCCTTTGGGCTACACCTCCAGCTCATAGTATTCTTTAAAAAATACAATAATCCCCACAAAAGATTAGGATATATTTTCCAATGTTTGTAAATATTCTATTAGTTCTGTAAATATTTTTCCTGTTAACTTACTATGACTTCATGCATTCCCATTACCTGCTCACTGCTTAACTTTCTAGGCTCTCCATGATTTTCCTGCTATATGAAATATCCTGTTATTTCTCCACAGTTCCAATTATCTGTCCAAAAGGGACAGAGTACAGTGCAAATGAAGAACATTTCACCACTATGTCTTTAGTGTGCTTAGGAAAAAAGTTAATTAGCAATTTAAAATGAAATATTTCACTTTGTGAGAAAGAAAAAAAAGGATACATTTGATGCCATGTTGTGAAGAGTAACAAACAATACATTTCTAGAAGTGAGAAAATAGGCACAGAATATATAAAAAAGCAATTCAGAGAGAGAGGGAGACATAAAATGACAAATTATAAGAAAGAGATAGGTTATAACTGCATCACACATTAAACGAACACATAATACAACAGCCACAAACCAGTTTTAGTTAATTTGGCAAGTATTAAGTAGGGGGACAGTAGCCAGCACTAATAAAGATGTGGATAAAGGCTAACTCACTAAGTATAAAAGCACCATATGCCTTTCTAGATTCAGACTATTCTCTAATTTCAATGTGCCCATGCTCTTTTGTTCAGAAATTCTACTTTAGATAACCATCCCAGAAGAATATATGTGCTTAAGAACTCAAAGATAACAGAGTTCAGTTATGTTCACAAAACTACTGTTGTTTTTAGTAGTAAAAATCTGAAAATATCAATGAGGGAATATTTAATTATAGGAGAATAACATCAGCCAGCTAAAAAACATCCCACATATCATGGAAAGAGCTACAAAACAAATTATATTAAATATTTAGTATGATACAATTTATGTAAATATTAGTAATCATATATTTTAATGCATATAACCCAGGAAAATTATAGTGAGGCTACCTACATAGGCAACTGTTTAATAGTGCTTATCTATGAGAAGAGTATCTTGAAAAGTATACGGGGCAAGAGGCAATGTGTTTAAGGCAGAAAGCTAAATCTTCTGCACTTTTAAACATTTATTATCAGGATGTAAAATAGACTATCTCTATCTATTTACCTAGGAATAGGGGATTGAACCCAGGGTCTTCACACAGAGCTACATCTCCATTCTTTCTTAAAAATGTTTTATTTTGAGAAGGAACTCACTCAGTTACCCAGGCTAGGCTCAAACATGCAATTCTCATGCTTCAGCCTTCCAGAGTGTTGGACAATTTCTTAAGCAAAACAAAAACATATAAACACTGAAACCCAGTAAGTAACAATATATATGGTAATGGTGTGGATACATTGCTGGGTATCCATGGTCACTCTAAATATGAACTTTATATAGTTTTATCATGGAAGAGCTCAATCTATAATAAAACAGTTATCAGAAAGATGTAATGTTTTCAAGTCTTCTTTGCTACTTTTATAGTAATTGGAACTTTTCCATTTGTTCTGCTTGTACCCAAAGCCAAAAACTAGTTTAGGGCCCTAGTCTTATTTGTTATTGCTAAGTTCCTTTGATTATTAATTCCCTTATTTGTTCTTTGCCTTTTAAGTTTGGTGTAAAAACTGCTTCACAATGATGGAGGTCCTCTGTACCTCTGCCTAGAACAATCTGCTCATCTTTTTCGGTAGTAACTGATAGAATGAGCTGATAACTTTACCATTGTGATTATCTTCAGTTATCTCCTTCCTTGGGTTTCCTTTACTATGGCAGATACTATGGGCATCTCTTATTGTCCTTTAATGCAACATGAATTGTCATTATTTTAGAATTCTTGTCCCTTTTTTCAATGCTATTCTAAGACCTGTCTCTCTTTCTAGCCCTTTGATCACTTTTCCACCCTGTTTCTCAGAAATTTTGTTTTTATGTGGAGAGCCAGAAAGAAGCACTAATTTCAGGTAGAGTACGAAGCAGGATAGCTACCTAAAGGAGAAAGACTTGAGATACATATCCTAAATATTATGCCTTTAGGCCAGGCATGGTGGCATGTGCCTGTAATCTTAGTACTCAAGAGGCTGAGGTAGAAGGATCATGGCGAGTTCCACACCAGCCTCGGTTACAAAGTGAACTCAAGGCCAGCCTGAACTGCACAGTGAGACCTTGACCTTGTGTCAAAAAGACCACCACAAAAAAAAAAAAAAAAGCCTTTAGTCCAAGGGAAAGTTGGGCTTTAAAAACACTGTTTTTCTTTTGGTACCAAGGATCAAACCCATGACCATGCACTTGCCAGGCAGGTGCTTATGTCACTGAGCTAAATTCCCAGGCCCTGAAACACTTTCTTTAAGACAAAAGTTTTAAGATGTAAGAGCTGGTTTATTTAAATTCACAAAAACTACCACACACCTATATCAAAGCATTAGTAGTTTATTGTGTTAGCTCTGTGTAGGTTTTCAAGTTCCCTTTTTAAAACACAAAAATTTAACACTTAGGTCAGAAATGTTCTTGTAATAGCTGGGGGTTTAGCTTAGGGGCCTAAGCACCAACCCTGGCAAGTGTGACCCCCTCACCAAGATAAATAAATACTTAAGAAAAGTTCTCCTAGGAAGGCTCAATACATACCTACTATCTACAATGGCACTGACAGGTTTATGTTGCCCTCAAAAATCTCAAATTCACCCATAGAAATTTAAAATTACCTATAGTGTTTTTAAAACTTTTATTATGTCATACTGATTTAAGAATTCATTAATATAATCATTAATTTCTAACAGTATTGAAATGGTTAATCTTCAAAATATCCAAGAACCATATTCTGCTACCAAACATTACTTCATAAATTTGTTCTTTTTAGCACCTGAAATCTTTAAATTTCGACTTTCCATAAACATTGAAAACTTCAACTATAAATGCTAAGTATATATGTGTGATTAAATACAGATGTCTTGAAACAAAGGTTGCCACAGTTTTGCTTAGCCTGTATGTATTTTTTTCTTACCTGGAAGGGGCCACCCCCACTATATTGGGGCCTAATCCTCTGAACAAGGAACGGGGTCCTTCTTTTTCCAAGATCACCCTGAAAGAGAAAAAGAAAACTACAAAGAAATGTTCCTCAAAGTCTGGTTCTTTATTTACTTTGCAAAATAAAGATTAAGACAAAATCTCACATTTGTACTAGAATATACTTTCCTACTCATTTTCCTTACTTATGAAAACTATGCAGTTCAGGCTGGCCTTGAGCTCACTTTGTAGCCCAGGCTGGTCTCAAACTCACAATGATCCTCCTGCCTCAGCTCCCTAGTGCTGGGATTACTGGCAAACTATGCCCGGCTTGAAAATCTGTTTTTTCATAACATAGCATAATGTATTAAAGATTGGGAAAAGACTTATTAGTGATAAAAAAAAAACCCTGTTCAAAATCTTTCCTAAAAGATTGAAGATATCACTATATGGATTTCTACACTGATTTTCATGTTATCTATGCTATTGTTATCTCTAATAATCTCAATGTTACTATCTTTACCAGCAAATTCAATTTTCAATCAGAAACGTATTCCTTCCTAACTTTGCAGTCTTTTACTTCATATTAGAGAACATTTTTATTATTGTACTATGTCATCCAATGATTTCAGTGAAACACTACAGCAAAAGTTTATTGCCTTAACATTCTTTAGCATACTAGAAAGGCTGGCTTCTCATTTCTTCTTCTGGTTAGTTAAAATTCACTACAGTGAGTATTTACTGTATTGTTATAAAGAGCTCTTTATGACTAGGCAGAGAATAAAGAGATACAAAGCAGAATGTATGGCCACTAACATTGAAAACTCTGTTGTTCAGTAGTGGATCATATTAACAGATCATAATTAGCAAGCAAACACTGGAAAAGCTACTTGTGGGAGGTAACTTCAGTGACTCACTTTGAATTCAAAGCAATTACCGTGACTTTGATTATTTGGAGACTCATTTCCTCTTCATATGTAAAAGGCTGGCTAGGGTATTCCCTTCTCTCTTCAATTGGCTCTGAGCATAGCAAATAAGGCCAGCTGAGGTGTTAATATGCAAAATCTATAGCTGTCAGACAGTCCTGTTTCCTCCATAGTGTTCTCCACAATACAGGATGAGATGTTACAGCAAACAGCTCTGGAAATGTCAACTGGGTATAACCTCAAGATAACAGGCTATGACTCCCAAGGGCACAATAGTTTACATATCAAAAACCAAAGCACAGAGGGTAGGCAACCACTTTGAAGGCAATAAGATTTACTATGATGCCCATTATGGTTTGACTATTATCTTCTTTTGAAGCCCTGTAAGGTCTCCAGTGTAGGTTTTATTGGTCTTATTCTGTTCTGTTTTATGCAATTCTATAATACCTGATGATATAGGCAACTCTTTTTAAGATAGCAAGACGCATAATGGTAACCATTTTTGATCACCTGGTATTCTATTTTTGCATCATGTACTATGTCCATCCTTCTATTCTAACTTACTCTGTTTTGTTTTGTCATATTTGGTTTTATTCTCCTCAAAAAAAAGTAGTAAGAACTGTGGGAGTAATAAAACCCCAAAAGTGTAATTGTTATTGTAAAAAAGAGAGGAAAAGAAAGTGGTCTAAAGGATATAACTGCATGTATATTTAAGTGAGTAGGATAGAAAACCATATTACTGAGTTTTTGTTGGATTATTGAACAGAACTGTCTGCAATCTCACTGTATGAACGTCCACTTTGTATGCTTTAATTTTGTAATCTGGACAGCTGTTTCTAAGATGACAATATGTAATCTATTAACTAGTGATTTCTTACTGTATATTTTTTTCTTGAAATTCTGTATTATTTGTACCCTTTTACTGCTTTGTTTCTTTTTTTCCTTTTTTCTCTTTAAAAAAATTAAAAAAAAAAAAAAAAAAAACAAAAACCAAAGCATAGCCCTCCAAAAGAATTCCACTGCTACCTTACTTGGAGTATGTAAACTGATCATTCAGCATATCTTTATCTCTGCAATTTACAGAGATGCCATTCTTGCACCTGGCCATCCAGCTCAAGTTACTCATGTAATCCCCACCATCCTCACTGTCACTCACCCCTGAGCCACCTCCTTCTTCACAAGATAATGAATGCTGGGAGAGGCCTAAGATCCAGGCCTTTGTCCACAAGAGGATTAAGATTTAAGACCCCTTGGCTGCCCTTAACTTGGAATATGTCTTTACTCTTGCTGGGGATTGCATTGGTGATGGCAGATTAAAATTAACCTACTGGGATTCCAATAACGTCTCAATAGGATTACAAATATAACTTTTTGGATTGTGAGGAAGACTAGAAAAAGGATTACAATACTTAGATGACTAAATTCATTATTTGGGTTTACAGTATTATAGCTACTCACATTTATCCTATATTCTCCTAAAGATAGAGACATGTTTTGGTATCAAAATGCTTTCTGAGAGGTAAGCTATTCAACAAAATTTCACAGGTGGGAAATAAGAGACTGAAGAAAGGTATTTGTTATTTTCTAGTTAATAGACTAAATAGGCCAAATGATTCTCAAACATTTGAATGGTAAGGAAAGGGCTCTGATTACAATGGTTAAGTATCTGAAAGGCACGGGCGTGAGGGTGAGTGATCAGCCTTCTCACTATGAAGCCCAGTGCTAGTAATGGATTTAAAAAGTAAGTTCATTCATCCTAATTTCAGCAGTAAATAAAGAGAAATAGTATCCCTTCATTGGGCTACTGTGCGGGTTAAACACATAATAAGCTTAAAATAGGGCCTGAAAAACTAAGGAACTAAAATGGGGCCCAAAGGGGATTTTTAAAGTTCCCGTAGAGAAGAGAAAGCAAAAGTATTAAAAACTAGAACAAAAGAATATCACAGAAGTCAAAGGAAGAATTTTTTTTCTTTTTCTTTTTTATGTACCGGGGATTGCACTAATGAATGACTGCACGCTTGCAAGGCAAGACACTTACGCCACTGAGCTAAATCCTCCAAAGGAAGAATTTTATGGAGACCTAATCACTGGTTATTAATGTCAAAATCATGATAGTAAAATATTTTTCTATTATTCATCATAATAAAGAATTTATTTTATAATGACAGCATTTTCATTCAAAACTGTTAACTATTTTACTTATTCAGGTGCTTAGGTAACCAAATTTGAAAGAAGTGTGATGAAATCTTGGTAGGTAAACACACTAGCTAAGTTTATTTTCTACAAAATAAACATACTGAACTAAGTTCAAATAGATTAAGTTCAATTGAGCTGATAAAGCAGACACAAGTTATTTAATCACACACACACAAGTTTGAACACATAAAATCTGACTCTAATAATTTTGAAACTTCAAATCCAATTGCAACTATAGCAGTATAGAAAATGTAAAAGCAAATCTTTTCAAGCTGTCAGAAAATGTCAAACACCCAAAGAACAGCAATTTAAAGTACATACAATTCTATTTAAAATTAATTTTAGGTTGCATAAAAACTGCAGACTGCAATTTTTAAATGCAATTACTTATGCAAGTACTTGCATACAGAGTTACCATTAACATTATCTCATTTCAAAAAGAAATGAACTAACAGTCCAAAATAAAATACCTATAGCAGCTTGAAAAATTGGAGAATTGTAGAAAAATACGGTATTTAAGTATACATGATTTAGAAATAATATTACATTTTGCATTACCCATCTAATAATTCTATTCCATTATGGATTACCATTTGTAATGAATGCACTAACCTCTGTCATTCAGTTTCTAAGAGCCTTTTCAAATGGGGCAGAACATAAACATGTGGGACTCAATAAGGTAAACTAAAATCAAACAACAGAAACCCATGAATGCAGTGTTCTCACTTTAGGCAATGGAGGGGTCCAGGAGATACTATTCGGTTAACACTGGCTCCAGCCATGGTGTTCAGTTGAACTTCAGAGATATAAAGTGTCACAGAAGACGACTGCAGCCGTGTTTTGACAACTTCCAGTGGACATGTCAGAACTGCTCCCACTGTGCCACCACATCTACAAAGAAATGATAACACAACTTACCTCTTTAATTAGTGAGTTAGTACATAGGCCCAGAACTATAACCTATGTGGTCATCTGAAGCTGTCAGCTTAAAACTTCTAATGATTTTAGAAGAGTAGATATATTTTAACTTTCGTTTATTTGCATACAACTGACAAAAATAACAGCTTAATGACATCAATGCAGCAAAGAAAATAAGCTCTGTTAAAACCACTATTTTAAGTATCTTCTATCATTCTATCCCTTTAAAATGCAAGAAATAGTGTAAGAATGAAATCGCTGACAGATAACCATTGGTACTTATAGGGTATTCTGGAAATGTCAAAACTTGGCAGAAAAAATTTCAATCAATAAGGCAAGTAAGAAAAAAAAAAGCTGAAAGAAAACAAAAGCTTGCAAAGGGAAATATATACAAAAAAAGAAGCGAACAGCTTTGTCCTGACAATTTCCCAAGCAGCCTGATGACTAAGGGCACCAACTACTCAAGGAGGTAAAGAACTTAAAATATGACAGGCTGATGCGCTATAGCAAAGGCAAGCTGCCCCAGAAAATATTTGCTCTACACACACATGTACACACATATGCACACACATGAGAAATAAAAACTATGTTCCTGGACAGAAGCCTAACTCTCTGAAGAACACGAACTCCAAACTGTCTGAGCCTTAGCTTTACCCCCCCCCCCCCACATTAGGATTCCCTACTGCAATTTTTAAAGTACTGCAGATAAAACTTTATCAACTCCCAGAATGAAAGATCGAAAGATCACACATAAAGGGAAAAGGATTAGAATAGCATCAGATTTCTCCACAACTGCAGGACATTATTATTATTATTATTAGTCTTTTTCTTTTCCTTTTTTATCGGTACCGGGGATCGAACTCACGACTGCCTGCTTGCAAGGCAGGTGCTTATGCCGCTGAGCTAAATCCCCAGCCCCTAGGACATTATTTATCCTAGAATTTTATACCAAGCCAACCTGGAAAACAGACTCGACAAAGTACTCAAAAAATTTCTCACTTTAATAGCTACTACAAACCAAACCAAACTATAAAGCAGATAAATATGCCTACAAATTATTCAAGACAGTTTCCACTGTGTACTTTTATTACACAGTGAAGTAAGTATTCCACAAATTAAGTCAACACAGTAAAAAAGGGTAAGATCGAGTGTGCAGGAACCAAATAATCCAAGAGAGAGAAGATAACCTTAAATGAAAGTGAAATGCCAAGCTTAAAAACTAATCAATCTAGGGCCAGGGATTTAGCTCAGCAACATAAGTGCCTGCCTGGCAAGCATGAGGTTGTACCAAAAAACAAAACAAAACAAAACAAAAAAAGTAACCAATCTAGATGGGATTAAGAGTATCAGAGTTGAGAAGGACAAGATCTCCAAGAAAAAAAAAAAAAAAAAAAAAAGAAAGACCAATAAATATACTGACCATATGAAAATATTCAAGTGTAAGTATTTATATAATTAAGAAAAAATCTGATGGTAGCAAATACTAACCCCAAGGGGGAGAAAAATGAAGTAATTCAAAACAGAAAAGGTCAGCGTAATACATAATTTAGCTGCTCAATGTACAATATATTGTCACAATAAGGTATACACTAACAGAAGATTGTGTTATAACTGTATGCATTATCAGAAAGGGTGGAAAGAAAGGTAAGTGGGAAGTGGTACAATATAATAAAGCCCTATCTACAAAAATAAAACTTAATGTATATGAATTTGTGAAATCTAGAAAAAGCGACAGAACATAAAGTATACAAAATTCTGAAAAAATAGCTAAGAGTGGTTTTATATTTCCAATAGGAAGAAATGGGGTAAAGAATGCTGATTTTTATCTTTCAGCAGTCTTTTTCTTTTTACCATGTGCATACATCTATTTTTACCAAAGGTATAGCAATATTAATTTTTTTAAAAAATACTGTAAATTTTAAACTAGTAAATATGAAAAAATAAATAAATAAATAAACTGGTAAATATGTCAGTGATGTTTCTGATATGCACTGAATCCCATGAAAAAATACAATGTGTATTGTGTAATTTAGAACTTCAAAATACAATCTAGAATCTCAATCCCGTCACCATATCTATCCCAGTTGAAGTGATTATTATAGTATCTTCCTGACTAGGAACAGAAGGGGAAAATTTTATTTTGTACTATTGATATACACTATACCTTATGCAACTTGTGAGTAAAGGTATTTTTATGGGCTAGTCAATTTAATGCAGATTAAAGCAATGTGCTACTTACTGAAAAGTAGGGACAATGCAGTCTCAGTTTTATAAGAAATGGATGGAAATAAAACTACAATATAGCAAATGTAAGTTGTTTATTGCATTCGTAAGTCTATCAAGATGTGGATAACAATTATTCTAAGCCAAGATAGTAATAAACTAATGGGAAAGGCTAGAGATTATTTTAGTCTTTTTCTACTCCTTCACAAAGTTTCATAGCAATGAATACTAATTTAAGGCATGTTTTGGGGTACCAGCAATCAAACTCATAATATCGTGCTTGCCTGGCAGGTGCTATGCTGCTGAGCTAAATCCCCGGTCCCTAATTGAAGTATTTTTGTAATACTTAAATAAGCAAACTCTTCACAAACATCTACTTGCACAAGCATGCTTTTAAAAAATTAGTAAGACAGAATTATGCAGAATGTACTAAGGCTGGGAAGAATCTAGAATCTATAAGGGGAAGAACATGGAATCAAGACTAGCTGAAAAAGCATGTAAGTAGGTAGGAAAGAGTTACTGCTACTGAAGGCTAACAATCCTCAACTGAAACAGTGATAAAATGCTGCTTCTACTTATTGTACATATTCAGTCATGCCAGCAGTCCAGCTAGTTAAGCACTTTATTCATTTGTTGACTAAGTGACAAGAAGTTTCTTAGAGTATTTTCTGTTTGTTCAAGTCAGGGACAGTGTAACCAAGAACTAGTTTAAAAAAAGAAACCAACATAGAAAAATCCTTGCAAACACATCTTGTAAGGAAGAAATGCGTCTATGCTGGGGCCCTCAAAGTGCTCTCCCACATGAGTTATAGCAGCACAGGGATGAGCAGAAGAGGTGGGGAGATGGGAAAGGGGAACGTGAAATATTCAACGCTATTTTTTTAGTTTAATGCCTTAATTTGTGGAACACTTCTTTTAGTTTGCAGTGTTAAGAAGAGTACAAGGTAGGAATAGAGCACAAAAAGCATTAAGATGGGTTAAGTACATGTACCAACTCCCCATGATGAATGTAATCATTATGTACTGCAAATATGTAGTAGTAACAAAAATAAATGTTTGGAAAAAATATGACAGCAAGCAGATCAATCTCAACCATGATGCCATCAGTCATGGACACCAAGTCAGTTGCACTGACCTAAAACCATTATCAGCTAGAAAGCCCCAAACCGCTGAAACATTAAATCTAGTTCACTTGCCTTTAAAAGGATATTAAGAGCTTGTATCTAAAGATTCCCCAAAGCAGTCATAAATGGGGCTTTTTCAGAGGCAGCTGGATATAGAGTACGTGATGCTAGGATTAAGGGTGTATGATTACTGAATCAGTCCACTGACTATTTTGGCACAGCCTTAGTGCTGGTAGCCTAGATGGAGTACGAAAGGGGCAGAAAGAAGCTGCCAAGGTCCCTTGTGTGCTTTGCTACCTTCTGCCTTCCATGAACTGTTTCCCCCTCTGTGATGCCTGTGTGTCTCACCACCCTGTCTTGGAGATAAACCTTATCTTCCTTAACCTGTGGATGTTGGGTATTCTGTTTCAGCAATGAGAAAAGAAATTAAGGCACTAAGCATACCCAAGGGGAAACCTAAACATCTTGGAAGCCTGTGAAGCTAAGGGAGGGTGGTCAAGGAAAATAAACGATTCCAGACTGATATTTAGACCTACGTCTTCAATTTTAATCTTTTAAATATATATTTAAATAGGAAACTTGTTTTTTTAACAAGCATGTAATTCATAAGGGCAAAATATGTTCTTATTAGATCCACATATTAGAAAGGGGAGTGTATAAACTAAAAGGTACTTTGGAATTCATTAACTTTAAGCAAAATCTATTTTATCAGACAACTGCAGCTTTTAGCTTTGTAAAGGAAAATGAAGGCTGAAATACTGTCTTTCAAGTAATGCTTCACTGCAATTTACTAACCAAGGCATTAGTTGTTTTAGTTACTTCCCTCATCACTGAGACAAAAAATCACAACATCCACAACTTATTTTGATTCATGTTTCAAGACCACCATTTGATCCAAGTCATAGCTGGCTCCAAGGCAGGTCACATGGCACAGGGGCATGACAGAGGAATAGCTGTTCACCTCATGGCTGCCAGGAAGCACAGCAAACTTATCCTTCCAGGCCATTCTTCCAGTGACCTACCTTTTTGAACCAAAAGTTAAATCTAAAGGTTAATAGCTCTCAGCCTCTTTTTTTTAACTTTTTATCGGTACTAGGGATCGAACTCACAACCGCCTGCTTGCAAGGCAGGTGATTATGCTGCTGAGCTAAATCCCCAGCCCCTAGCTCTCAGCCTCTTAATGACCACAATTTTGAGAACAGCTCACTCACTTGCTCTGAGGTACTATATATGTGTACTATTTGGATTTCAGGACACATTCTCTTGCTCACTGCTCAGTCTGTTTTGCTGGTTTCTCCCTTTTCTGATCTCTTCACTGGAGTCCTCAAAGGTTAGTCTTTGGTCTTCTTCCTATATTCCCTTAATGGTATTACCTGGCCAGGCGTATAGCACCTTCTATGCTCCAAATGTGTATCTCTAGTCCAGACCTTTCTTGGAGTTCACCTTGTTATATCTAACCACCTCAAAAATGCGTTTTGTTTTTTTTTTTTTTTTCTTGAGACAGGGTCTCTATGCAGTTCGGGCTGGCCTTGAGCTCACTTTGCAGCCCAGGCTGGTCTTGAACTCTAAACGATCCTCCTGCTCAGCCTCCCAAGTGGTGGGATTTTAGGCATGAGGCACAAAACTACCTTCTTGACTTCATTATTTCTCAAATTTACAACTAAATCTCAACTTTTGACCTTTCCTTAACCCAAACCCACTGCATCTACATCTTATCTACCCCAGTTAGCAATTTCATCCTTGTGGGTACCCAAACAACTCGTTATACTTACATCTTTTTCTTATACTCTACATTCAATATGCTATAAATCTTACTGTCTCTATCTGTAAAATAAAACCAGAATTCAACCATTTCTCACAATGCCTACTACCTCCAACCTAGTAAGATCCATCAAACTTTCTCATCAATGATACCACTCATCTGGATTACTAAATCATCTCCCTACTTCTGCCCTTGCCACAGGTATAATCTAACACAACAGACAGAGCTAGCCTTTTAGAAGACTTTCAATGACTACTCCCACTTGAAGAGAAAGTATAAATCCTTTAATGGTCTAATAAAACTCTACCCCACCAGGGCTATACCTATCTCCTTACCTTGTGTACACTGTAGTTCTTTTCACCGCCTATTCCCTCTACTTAGTTAATTCCCTGCCCTTTAGGCCTCTATTCAAATAACACTCTCTCAGTATGAATCAAACACTCTCTTCTATTTAACTGGACTGAACTCCCACTATTCCTGATGCTGTTTCACCTCATTCCGTAGCATTTAACACCTTCTCACTAATGATATCATTTACTTGACAAATCAGACAGCAATGTATAATACATTAAAACTGAAGAAAGTTGTAGGTTTTTGAAGTATAATTGCAATATACAATTTGAACCCATGCCAATAAATGCTAAAAAAAATTTCATGCAGTTACATTAAAATCCATTGATCTATTTTATACTAACAGGTCATCTGAAAAATACTAATTCAGTGGATTTGGCTTATTTATGCTTCTGCATGTGGATACATTACACAAAATAATGCATACTTTCTTAACATTACTTAAGAGAAACATCTTTAGGTACTAGGAAACTATCACACTGGAGCTTGGGGGAATTAGCTCAAGGTTTCAAAAATTCTAATTTTTGCCTTAAAGTTAGTTTTATCTTAGGTAACAGATGCCTTCCAGTGGTTTTGTATAAAGCAACAGGCTCTCATTTTGTTGAGAAAAATGTTTTCCAGTCTAATCTATTAACCTCCTTTAAGAATGGTTCCCCAGGCTTTAACTACCTTTAAGAATGTACACCAGGCTGAAGCCTGGTGAGAATGAGATCTTTATTTAAAAAAAAAAAAAAAAAAAAAAAAAAAACCCGCTAAATGCTTAACTACTTTTATTTGAAATCTCTCTCCCTCAATAAAGACAGACAGAATGACCTCAGGAGACTTAGCTGATACAATAATTAAGACAATTTGTAATTCTATAAAAAGTACTTAGAAAACTACAGACATACAGTAGTAGAGGTACAGCGAAATCATACTTACATCATTTTGTAGACTGCCATAATATGCCTCTGTAATTCAATTAACCTAACCAACGACTTTACAAACTATGAATATTAACTGGCAAATGCATAGTAAGACCAAAGGGTGCCTTACCAAAAGCACCAGTTATGCACATGAGTGTCATCCAGACCCAAGGTTCAGTGCTTGTCTATTTCAAACTTTCCCCTTTTACAATACAAGTCCAGGGCTGTTAAACTTTCTGAGATACAGATAAACATATATTTGAGTGTAAGCAAGTGAGAATCAGGAAAACATCTCAAAGGCTTCACGTTAACAAAATCTTTGACTTAGGTTAAGTATCACTGTGAAAGGTTATTCTTGTTTCTTGGGCTTAACCCAAAGGGTATATGAATTAGCCTTGGCAAACAACTCAAAAAAGAGACTGATCTTTCCCTGTGTAATTATTAAAGTAAATAAGTACCACAATTTTCAATATATACAATTCTATCAGGGTAAGAAAGAAAATTAGCATTTTATGAAGGATGTTTTAAAAATTACAGCCTAAATATGTACCAATTATTTATAAAGAATTAGTTATCTTCAATTAATAAATTACCAACTCGACCTACTTTGTATTTCTACAATGCTTAACATATAACAAGCACCTTAAAAATGCTTTAAAATTGAATTTATTTAATATAGAATTGAAAAGACCTTTTAAGAGTACTTACCTTCATTTACATGTAAGAAAAGCTGTTTGACCTTAAGTGAATTTTTTTACACCTAAGTATTTTTCCAAATTTTGAAGCATCTAATCCAGATGACCTTTACCACCCTTCCTTATTCTAATGCTTCTTTAAAGATAACGCATGTCTCATGGAAATTACTTCCTAACACAGAGACAGAAAAAAAAAAAAATTCAAAAGGAAGGAATTTATAACCCGAGCAACTATCCTAGATCAGATACCAACTATCCTAGATCAGATACCAACATACCAATATCCTGTTTAACACTAAATAAGCTATATATGCTACACTTTGTTGGGAGGTGAAACTCCTAACCTGTGTTTATATAAACAAAAACGCTCCACTCCTGTTCTTAAAAAGCAAGCTGAACAGAAAAATCCTAAATGAACAGCTATTAATAAAGTCGCTGATGATCCAAATCTAAGCTGAGAAATTAGTACAATCAAGCTAACATTGATTTCAAGTGTTCTATACTTTAACAAAACTTGACATGAATCCTTAACGCAAATTAATAAAGATGTTAGGATCTGCAAAGGAACTTTGCAGTCATATAGTACATTACAACCTTCCCCCACCTTTAAAAAGCAATTAAAAACGGGCCAACGTTATACACAAATGAGAAGGTGGACCTAGGTCTGTGGTGTTGTCATAAGACTTTATTACACGACGGAATCAATTTTTTGCACGAAAGTTTTGCTTTTCAAGAACATACACATAGCTACTGGATTTAAAAAAAATTCCATTTGTCTTTTTACTGGCAATGCACACCTGAGAAATCTGGAAAGCAAGCTGGGTCTCACAAATTGGAAAAATGTTTTTATGCCAAAATAGTAGCTGGCCCATAATTGGTGTATAGTATGTTTGTTGAGAATATACACTAACTAAATAATGCCATCATTGGAAACAGTTCACATTTTCAATTCAAAGCAACACACCATAAACCGAACTGCGCATGTAATACGTTCAGAGGGGTTTGATTCGAAACAAAATGTTAGTTCATAAGGCCTTTCCCCCCCTAAGTCTTAACATAATTCATTGTAGCCAATTTTGGCAAGACAATTCCATAAACCTACAGATAAAATAACTCAAAATTGCTACAAGTCTCCAAGTAATTTGGAAGCGTTATCTCCCGAGGAGACAACTGGCTCTGTAAAATGGCTGTAGCAGTCATGCTGGCAACCAGGGAACTAAGGCTTTAGGCTTAGTACTAATCTAGTATACACAAAATAACTACCACCAAAACATGTGACCTTTCTCCACCCTCACTTTCCCTTTGTGCACCAGAAAAGCAGCGAGTATGCAAAAGTGGTTTGCCTGGGGAAAAATAATCCGATTCCAAGGGCCCTTCAGCTTTCACCACGTTTTGCAGCTCGGAAGGAAAATTCCCAAGAGCAACAAAAAACCAGCAGCTCCCAGTGGCATCCAACCCCAAGTCCCAGGGGCTCAGGCCCCTCTGAGGTCCCGGCACGCCCCCGACAACCGGGCCGGAAGCCGCCGCAGCTGCCGCTGCGCAAGAGCGCGAAGGCGACGTGAGGAGGCCCCGCTGCGCAGCGCCGCCCGCGGCGGAGGCGGCCCGGCGCCCATTTTGTCCCCGACCTCCGCAGCTCCCGCGCCGCGGTTCTGGAGCCTCGAGGCCTGGCGCCGGTGGGCTCCTTACTGGCCCCACGGGCCGCGGCCGCGCCCTACGGCCTGGTTGCCCAGCCACCCCAGTCCGGCTTCAGCCCCTCTCCCCCGGCCGCACACCCCACCCGGACCGTACCCCCCAGCAAACAGATGCACCAGCGTGTCCCTCTGGCTCATTCTTTCTCCAGCATGTCCTCCGGGCGCTGAGGCGGGACGCGGACTCGGCTGCTCGCTACGGCGAGCGGCTTTGGTCCCGGAAGGAAACGTACAACGCCCCACGGACGGCGAGGGGATGGCCGAGAAGCGGCTGCGGACGGCAACCCGCGCAGCCCTCCCCGCGCACCGCCGCCGCCGCCCGCTCGCCTTTGGCGTTCTCTTGCGGAGCCTAGCGCGGCGCGGCGGGGGCGTGAGTAGTCAGGGCCCTACATAAACAGAAGCTTCCATTGGCCCGAGTGTCATGACGTCACGAGGCCCGCACGCCTCTTTCACGTGATCGCTAAGGGGTTTCTCAATGAAAAGGGCCGCGAGGCGGGGCCGAGAGCGTGTCCCGAGGGTAATAGGTCGCGCGCCGTCGCACCTAATGCGCTAACCCGGAAGGCCGCTCAGGCGCCGCGCTGCGGACCTGCGCGGGGTGGCGGGTGCTGGGGAGCTCAGTAACGTGGCTCCCGGGGCAGGAAAAACCTCTGGTGTCCGAGTCAACAGGCGGATTACTTGGTATGGCCAACCATTCCGCTTCCTGTTATCATCCTCAAAATAATATCCCTACTATGCTTTGTGCAGATGCTTCTGTGCAGAGTCACAAACTCTACAGTATTACAGACTCCTAGAAGCACAAAGTTGGTATTTATGGGAAGAGTGGAGAAATCATGGAACACTCTTGCTATGGAATATTGTGCAGTGGTGACAGGTTGCGGTAGGTCGACATGGATAAGAACTTAAAAGGTATAGAAAGTAAAACATTAAAGTGGGAAGGTTTCTTTTAGAATACCTGGCCACTTACTCATTCTACATCAGCACATGTTTCTTACAGGTACTATACCTAGCAGGGTCAAAGACTACAGGAAAGAAAATGTTTTTCTTTTCCAGAGCATGGAGGTTAAATATTAATTTTGTTAATTAGTAATTATTTCTCAAATACAAAAAAAATTCAAAAAATAATATGATATCTATGTCCATAATCCTGACTGGACAAATTTTAATATTTCTGTCTCCATGTTTATATAACTCCTTTTCCATCTGCAAGGCCCTCCCCATCATCCTCTCCAAAGGGACGGAATTTGCCGAGGCCTACCTTCCTTACCTTCCTTTCCTCCCAGCCCCACCTCTTTCATGAAGTCCTATTGCCTCAGCTGTCTGCGTTCTTCTTTTGCTCCTAAATTCCTGCAAACCATACAAATTGCCAGTGATTACTCCATAGATGAGAATTAAGCATGTGAAAATAGTTTAAACACCTATGGTAGTGCCATGTAAGTGCTACTTGTAATTGGTGTTCTTTTCCTGCCTTTTTATGTCTTTAAAAAGGTGGGACCTATCTGGACATAGTGGCACATGCCTGTAATCTCAGCACTTGGGAGGATGAGACAGGCAGATTACTGCAAGCTTGACTTGAGGCCAGCTTGGACAACACAGTGAGACCCTGTCTCATAAAGTAAAAAAAAAAAAAAAAGATGAGGCCTTGCTGTATTACCTAAGCAGTTCCTATACTCAAGTAATCCTCTGATCTCAGCCTCCCCAGGAGCTGGGCCTGTAACCCAGTTCTATTGCACCTGCTGTCCTTATATTTTTAGTAACAAAAATGAAACTTGATAATTCTTGAGCACTCACCAAGATTCCAGAATTTTTTTGTTTTGTTTCCTGTTACTTTTTTTTTTAAATTTTAAAGTGAGTAAAGCAAACAATACAATGAGACAAAACAAAACACCTAATATTGAGAACCTGCTATTGGATTTCAAAACTAAGGCAGGAGGAACTCTTCCAATAGTTACTCTGTTGCATATTGTTATCCTCCAAATAGTTGCTCACTGGCTTTAGGCCTGCAAAGTCAATCAAACAATACAAGCTTTAGGTTCTTTCTTTCTTTCTTTCTTTCTTTCTTTCTTTCTTTCTTTCTTTCTTTCTTTCTTCTTTATTTGAAATAAAATGGATTTGAAAAAAAAGTAAAAAATGAAAAAAAGTTCCAGAATTTGAGCTAAATACTTTATAACATCTCTCTCTCTTTTTTTTTTTAAGTTTTGTAGTATGGTTATCTATCTTACACATTTATACTAACATACATGTTATATCCTTTAGAGCACTTTCCTTCCCTTTCGTGGTTACAATATCTGTTATACATTTCTTTATCAGCACCAGGGATCAAACTCATGACTGCACTTGCAAGGCAGGCACTTATGCTGCTGAGCTAAGTCCCCAGCCATAATATCTCTTTAAACTTTCACAATTATGGCACATACTTGTAATCCCAGCACTGGGAGGATGAGACAGGAGGATTGTTGCAAGTTTGAGACCAGCTTGATCTACAAAGCGCAAGGCCAGCCTGAACTGGATAGTGAGACTCTGTCTCTAAAAGACAAACAAACAAAAACTTTTCACAATTAGTTTATGAGGTAAGAGATATAGTTCTTCTAATTTCATATGATAAAAACAGATTTAGAATAATTAAGTGCTTTGTCCGAGGTTACCTGGTCTATCCTGGAGAAGCTTGAACCTGAGTCCAATAAAATAATAGCTAACCATTAAAGGAAGCAAATTAGAAACAAATTAAAACTGCTGGATATTGCCAAAAACTGTTGTATTAGCAAGCAAGTGATATTTTTCTCACTGATAATAGCTTTATTGAAATTCATATGATAACTCCATACTTCACCTTTGAGAAATTACCAGCCTTTTCCAAAGTGGTTATACCATTTTAGGTACATTTCACTTAATAGCTATAGCTCCATGTTTTGATGTAGGGATTACCATAGTGATTACATTGAATAAAAATTCTGAAAACTGGTGAAGAGGGAGCCAGAGTTCTTATGTACAGCAGTTATTCCCATGAGCAATGACAATCCCTACTGTGGCCACTTTCTTTTGAACCTCGTTCAGATGCCACTGTGGAAATGGACTCTGCCCCTGCAGGTTCTGTCCGGGCTCCTTAGGAGCCAGCCTGTCAGGTGTGGCGGCTGCAGGCCTCACTCAGAGGTTGGAGAGTTGGGCTGGCTATCTTGTTTACTGAGGTTCCATAGCACTGTCATCTGCCTGCTCTTTTTTAACCTTCTTTCTTCTTTCCTCTCGACTAGTACACATTTTCCAAGTGATTCCTTAAAGTTGAACCCTTGTCTCTTGGACAAACAAGGTTCTATGTGCTTTTTCGAGAAGCATGAGGTGAATGAGATAGAAATTAAGCTTTTTCAAGACACATCTGCTCTCCCCCTTCCCTGTTCCTGTGGAGAAGTCTCCTGGGAGTTGTAGTTTCTCAGTGAAGATGGAAAGAAACTGATCCCTACCAAGATGGTTCAACTCAATACCTGTCTCAGAACAAACAAAAACCCCAAGTTCATTGTGAAATAAAGAGGACTCTCTTTCTCAATTGGTGCTAGTTTCTAATTTTAATTGCTAAAGGACTGAAGAAAAATTCTGGATACCTGCTAGGAGATTGGGGTTGCAGCAGAGCATAGATGGACTAATGTCACATTTCAGATAGCCTCCGTGAGCCTTGTAGGTTCAGAAGTTTTCTGTGGGCTTCAAGCCCTAGATTAGCAACATCAATTTTAATTATTTGGTGATTTTGTTGTTGTTTAATTTCTCTGTCTTCTTAATGATGTCAGTTCGGTGTGAATTTGAGTGTATCCTCTTAGCCAATTGCCAATTCATTTAATCTTGCTTTAAAAAAGTGATCTAAATACTGAGGGTCACGAGATAGAAATTAAAATTTTTTTGTGCGCCTCTCTTAAATTGCACTCCTCAGCAGAAACGGTTATGAAGAGTTGTGTGAATGTGCCAAGCACTCTGCCATGATGACAGTCTCAAAGGGCATCAGATTTGTACACTGTTTTTTAATGTCCAGGCATTGATTGTTTTTGTTTTTAAAACTAATGGAGATCTACTGAGTTTTAATTGCTATACAATAAGCTGTGCATATTTAAAGGGTATAATTTGATATGTTTTGATAGATGTACATACCTGGAAACCATTACCATAATCAAAATGATTGACATATGCATTGTCTTTCCATTAGAAATATCTCCTGATATCTCTTTATAATATATCCAATTGCCTTTGACCTCCCAGGCAATTACTATGTGCTTGGTCACTGTAGATTACTTTGCATTTTTAGTTTTGTTAAAAGAATATCCCCTTCCCTTTTTTTTGCTTTGGTTTCTTTTGTTAAGCATAATTTTTTTTTTGTTTTTTTGTTTTTTTTTGTTTTTTTTTTTTTTGTACTGGGGATTAAACTCACAACCTTGTGATTTCTAGGCAGGCGCTTATACCACTGATCCATCCCTAGCAGCATAATTGTTTTGAGATTTATTTATGTAGTAGCATAAATCAGTGATTCATTCTTCCTTTTATAATGGATCATTAGGTTGTGCATAGCATTTGGTTACCACAAATAAAGCCGCTATGGAGACCAGTAGACATGCATTTGCATGGATGTATGCTTTCAGTCTTATTGACTAGGCATTGTAGCAATTGATGAATATTTAAATTAATAAATCTCTTCAACCATTGTAAAGAAGCATGTTTTACAGAAAAAGAAATTGAGATGCAGAATGATTAGGGAATTCATCAAGCTACTACAGCTAGCAAGTAGCTGAACTGGGATGGAACTCTTAAGTAGTCTGACTCCAAAATCTGTACTGTTGTCCTCTCTTCTGTACTTAATACTTTTGTTTTTTACTTATTGAGAATATGAGCTATAATCCCCCTGCCACACAAAATAAAAACCCAACAACTTTTGAAGGGATATCTGTAGCTAAGAGATGACAAAATAAGCTTTTACATCTGAGCCATAAATGCGAAATCACAGGGTAATTGCTCTGATTGAACTGCCACTCCCATCAGCTACTCTGACCTGTGTATTCAGTAATGATTAATAGTTCTTAGCTATGTACGCTAGCAATAAGCAGACAGACAGTACTGGAGGGAGAGAAGGAGCTATACTTGCTAAAATGGATTTTCCTCATAGAAAGTAACATTATTCTTGTAGAAAACACAGTACTTTTCAGAACCTGATTCAGGAGAGTTTCCCAGAGCAATGGAAAAATGTCCAAAAATTGAAATAAGAAAGACTTTTCCTACTTTCTAGAAGAGGCATAGTAGAAGGGTGAGAAGGTCTTATGAAGAAAAGTATATATTTCATAAAGATAAGGATGTAACACTTTTTCTTTCTGTACTGGGGATTGAGCTCATGACCTCATGC